AAGTGCCAAGGGGTTTCCCAGCTACAATACGGCTTCAGAGCAGCTTCACGAAGCTGGTTATGATGCCTACATCACGGGCCTCTGCTTCATCTCCATGGCAAACTTCTTAGGTACTCTGACGTCCTCCCAGTGCGCGGCAGCCTCTTTCTCCCTTTCTGCTTGGCTCATCATGATGATTTTTTGTCATATCCTTTGCTCATCAGGTTCATTTCTCAGCCCTCCTGCAAATCATGTTTCTGCCAGTTCGAAACTGATAGAGCCTTTTTTCAACAAGTAAGTAACAACCGTCTTTGAAAACCGTCCCACTATTTGCTAGTTGTTTGCTAGAGAGATTTTCTTGCCCCGTTGTTTAGTGCAAGCTGCTACCCTAAGCTGAGACCACTAGAGCCCAGCTTTTGGGAGGCTAGCAGCACCTTCACCTTGCCATGTAGTTTAGAGGTGCTCTTTTGCTAGCTTTTCATGGAGCTAGGTAAGCAGAGACGAAGAAATCTTTTTGTTTTGTTTATAAGAGCCCAGTATAATATCCAAGTGACTCTCTTACTTTTGCTTCAGATTATTTCTGATGAGGGTGATGGACATTCCATATCTTAATTTGGAAGGACCAGATTGTGAGTGTTCCCCCCCCCATCTTTAAGACACATCAAAATAGTGGGATGGTTCACATCTTTTTCATTTTGCAGCAGCCTAGAAGAAGCATTTCCCCCTTTGGGGGGGACTAAGTTGCAGGAAAATGAGGAATTGACTGAAGGTTGGCAAGGCATGGTTGGGTAAAATGTGCGTGAGCTTGTTCAAGACTGTCTCTGGATTTAAATCTGCCTTCCCCAGAGTGATGTTTCTGTATGGTTAGCCCAGTGGGGAAAATCTCACCTTGATCTTAGCTACTTGCCTTTGGCTCCTGGGCGCACCAGGGCTGCATGCAACAGAGCTTACCAAAAATATGTGTCACTTCCGGAGTTCATATCAGTTTCTTCTGGTTTTGTAGTACAGCCAAAACGTGATCACGTCCTTTATGTTACCTTTCCCAAAGAGTGGAAAACAAGTGATCTTTACCAGCTGTTTAGTGCTTTCGGTAAGTAGACCTGCTGTTCCAGTGACAAATTTGTATAAAAGAGCAGTTGAATTTGGCACAGGGGCCAAAATGGAAGGCTAAAAGCAAAGGGTCCTGGCATTGGTGGCTGGAGAGTAGGTGGGGTTGGGGTTTCTGGAGCCCTTTTGGGCAGGACAACTCAGCAAAGCCCCCACCCCTCCCTTGATGCATCCCTGTGCTGGGAGGTGTCGCTCCTCCCTCCGGCCTTCCCTGATTCAGGGGCATCAGCCTTTTCCTTCAGGGTGAGAGCTGCCCCTGTCCACCATGATTCGTTTTCACTGTGCTTGAACAGATCTGATCAGAACAGAGTTTACATTCCCCTTCCAATTTTAGGAAACATTCACGTGTGTTGGATTGACGATACATCAGCATTTGTGTCCTTGAGTCAGCCTGAACAAGTACAGATTGGTGAGTACCATAAAACCTTGAAAAGTAGGGTTCACAACTGGCTATTTTTACAAAACATCTGCTAATAGTTTTAATGTTTAAAGAAGTTCCCTATATCTTTAGTCCTTCCTCCACTATTTGTCTTGTGGAACCATGGACTTCGTTAATTTTTCTCTTTCTGGTGATCTGCTGGGTGGGAGCAGCCAAATGCCAGGAAAGGAAAGGCATGGAAAAGAGGGACCAAGGAATGCAGCCCCCTTCAGCCCTTTGCAGGCCAAACTCTTGTGCTCAATCCTGCCAGATCAGCAGCAGGATTGCTGAGCTTCTGGAGCAGGAGGCATCCCGCAGCGTTGGGAAGCTCAGGTGCGCTCCCTGGGCATGACCGGGCAGGAATGCCCTGCGCAGCTTCTGTCCATGAGTCCATCCAACTGCCTTCTGTGGGAGGACCTGAAAGGTCCAGCCTGGAATGGAGAGTTGTGTGGCAGGGCTGTCTCGGACCAAAAAATGCTGTTCATCTTGGATCAAGACTTGGATCGATTGCTGCAACAGGCACAGCCCTTGGCAGACTGTGGGGTTCCTCTCTCTCTCTGGGGCACTGGCACTTCCCTTTTCCTCATTCTGCAACGTCACGTTAAAAAAATCCTTTATGTGATGGTTTATTTTGCCAAAGCCTCACCTCTTCTAACCAGTGAAATATAAAGTTTTGCTTCAAGATTTTGCCTGTCCCCAGAAGCTTCTTTGCCCAAAGGACACCCTGGCAGGGCAGTCATGAGCCGGGTTTTCTTTGCCAAGAGCAAAGGGAGAAAGCCGGGAGGGAGGGGGGCTTGTCATCCAAGGTGAGCTGCAACTCTTCCTGGAGTGTGGAGCAAGTGAGCGGAGCTGAGGTGCTTCAGACCAGCCATCCACCTGGTTGGGCTCTTCTCAGGTGAGCAGGAAAAGGAGAGGCTGCTCTGCCTTTTGATCTTGAGAGAAAACAGAAGCCACAGAGAAATGAAACCATCGGCCACAGCCTGACAGACGCTTCCAGGCGACTCCCTGGCAGAGTTGGGGTCAAGGGACAGAAGCTGTTTTTCAGGCAGGCCAGGGCTGAAGGTTGCAACGCCTGACTCTTGAGCAACAGCCGAGGGCCTGTGGAGCCGCTTTCTGCTTCTGCGTGATGTGAAGAATTCTGGCACAGAACAGGAAAGAAAAATGGATGATTTGATGAACTTTGCATACTGTGCTATTTTCTAACAAGCCACGCTCACTCTTAAAGCAACAGGGTGGGGAAAGAGACCCTTCGGGAGGGCCATGCTCACATCTGGCCGACTTACTTTCTTGAATCTACCTCTCTATCTTGAAGGCTGGGGACAATTTTTTTTAAAAAAAAAACTAGAGGTGTCTCTGACATGGGTACAGCTTCCCCCCCCCCCAACAATTTCTACCAGAAGCCTACCTTGAGCTTTCTGGTGTTTTTCCTAGGAACAGGATAGTGGCTTCCTTCACCGGCATTGTGGTTATGTTCTGAATATAGCCTGAAGCCCCCCCCCTGAAAAAAGGGCTCCTCTGCTCCCTCCCCACCTTCTTAGCCTGGGCAGATTGGAGGCCGTCCTGGAGAGGATTGCCTTCTGAGTGATTTTGTATTGATCTGTTTCCACAGCCGTTAATACCAGCAAGTATGCTGAAAGTTACCGCATCCAGACTTACGCAGAATATATTGAAAAGAAGCAGGAGGAGAGGAGGCAGGCGAAGAGAAAATGGGCAGAAGACAGTTGGAAGGAGATGGAAGTGAAACGGTTAAAGACGCAGGCCAGCCCCTTCGCACTCCAGAGCCGTTATTACAGTATTTGCAGGTGAGGCACGTTGGGGCACTGGGCCTGTTTGGCACCAGGCGGGTTTCGTGGGCAAGAGAATGACTCAGTTTGGTAACTCCCATGGCCAGAAACCAGCCCAGCCGGTTCAGCAGAAGACAGTTAGCCCCGGCTGGGAAACCACGAAGCCCAGTTGCCTCCTGTGAGTTTTTACCCTGGGCAGACCTGTCGCTTCCAAGGGGACACAAACATCTGCTTGTACGATGGGGGCCAGTGCAGATGGCCAGTCAAGCTTGAAGAAGAGCCAGTTTGGGTAGCTGTTAATGTGACGCAAACCAGGATTCAGCCGGCTAGTAATCAGGACAACAGGTTGGTCCTGAGAACAGCTGTAGGTGCTCTTAGGAAAGACAGCAGTGCAGAGCAGAATTGTATCCCTCCTTCCTTCAGGATGCTCCCTGGGAACACTTATAGGAACGTTCCCACAGACCTTTGGACGACTAAAATGTCTCCCTTTCGGGCTTCTCCCATTACCCCAGTATTTCAACCCTCAGCTCCGTGGGGAAGAGAAGCATGAGCCCCATCCAAGAGGAGAGCACCACAGATGACCTGGAGGAGGCCACAGTGCAAGAGGTGGACCTGGCCCACCATGACCCCTTCCAGGAGCCCCCCGAAGAAAAGAAGCAAGCCAAGAAGCTCAAGAAGGGTAAAAGGGAGCAAACGTTGGATGGTAGGTGGTTTCCACCGGGTGCTTGATCTGACAGCTGTGGGCAGCCTTGGCCTGTTTGCCGACTGGCAGGCCTGGAGTGAGGGAAAACCACTGGGTACAGCAGTTTGTGATTTGCCACATAATCTGAGAACTTTGAATGATAAAAACATGGCAGAGGAGATTGTTGCATCCCAGTTGTCATTTTTATTTTGCCCGGCGTTGGGATACTCAAAGCGCACCAAACGGGGCTGCTGAGGCCGCTCAGATTCAACCCCATCCTCCCACCCGGACAGTCTCAGCAACCCTCTAACTGATCAGCCCAGGAGGATGAGTCTCCTTGGGGGTGGCACAAGGGCTGAATTCCCAAGGGAGCTGTGCCCTCTCAGAGGAGTGGAGGCGGTGCCTCCAGCAGGGAAGGCACAACAGAAATCCTCCTCTAGTCAGCTGCAATGCCAGCCATGGACTTTGCTGCCCAGATGCAGGCTGTGCAACGCTTATTGCCTGAAATTTGAGAAGCTGCCATGAAAACCTCCCGTGGCCCCCCTGGAGGTTCTTCTTCCAAAGTTCGGGACAGGAAGAGTTGCCTTGCTGCCTTCTGGGTGGAAAGGGGGAAACCCCCCGTTCTCTCCTTTTAGAGACCCCAGAGGGCTCCAAGCCCAGATCGGTCTGCGCTCCTCCTCCTGACTCCCTCGCAATCAGAAATGGCCACTGTGCTCAAAGGGGCTGAGAAAACGGGCAAAATGGTTGCTGGCCTGGGATTCATCCCAGCCAGCATGCACGGGGACTTTGGCCTGAGTCGGTTGGGTTTTGTGTTCGTTCAGTTGTGTGGTTGTGTTGTGCTTCTTGTAGGGGCGCTCAAGCCCACCCCCACCAGGCTCTTCGATGTGCCGGACACGTGGTAGCTGCCAGGAGCACCAGTCAAAATGGGCTTCCATTCCAAGGAACCGGCGGCATGGTCCTCCCAAGCCACGCTGAATGAAGAAAGGAGGCTGATGCACAAATAAGAGGCAGGACACTTCTTAGAAATCTGTTTTATTTTTTAATGTCTACTGAACAATCACGGTCACTGTTTTTATGTGTGTGCATGTATGTACGTGTCCATTTCCTTGATTATGTGAAAGCCTTTTGCCGTCACTTGTGTTAGATCAAAATGCCAAACCTCCGGGGCTGGACCATCCATCCATTCATGTCACGTGGCTGAGAAACTTCACAGAGTCTGTGTGCAGCTTGCTATGCTGGTCCCCCTCGATTCGCAAATCCTCTCCTCTTCAGACATTCAGGCACATCAACGACCAGTGGGGCGCCTGGTGCTTTCAACCACTTCTTCCCTGCCATTTTCTGCAGTAGTAAAAGTGCATCCTATTCCCCTGCCACCCACCCCCAAATTAAAGGGAAACTGTCCTTTCGCTTTGGGAAAGAAAGCAGGTCTCAGTCTCCACACTGAGTTTGAGAACTGGCCTCCTATACCTGGAAGGGAGGGAAGCTTCTCGGGCACCTTTTCCCTTGATTCATGACTTGCATGCTATACTTAAAAAGTCAAAGATAAATCAGCAGCGTCACCAGCTTTTGTTAGTCTGAAAAATCAATCCGCTTTGGTAGATTTCATAAACTTGGTTTGATATTTAACATTTTTGTATCGTGGAATGAAAAATGTTATTTCCATAAAGTGAAAAATTAAAGAATCTTTTTCTTAGGAATCTGTGCTTAACGTTTCTAAGGCTGGGCCCTTTCTCCTGTGGTCATAGAATCCACCTGGAGTGGCTTCTGGGCTTCTGTTTGCCTGATAAGCACCTAGCCCCACTGCAGCAAAGGCCACTCCACTGACGGCACTCCTCCTGTGGAAGGCCGATCATTAAAGGGAGGGCCAGGCATCCCTCTGCAGAAAAAGCCAGCCACTCTGGCTCCTGGTGGAGGAAATGCAGTTGTTGTTGGTGCCGTAGCAGCTGGCACAGCCACAGGAGGCCATTCTCCTTTGGGAAGGGTAGTATCCCCACGAGAAACTGTCTCTGCAGTTCCTCCCTCAAGTTCCCACTTTCTCTTGCTGCTGGCAGAACGAGAACTGGGAGCCGGCAAGCAAACAGGCCATTCCTTTTTGCTGCCTTGATGGCGCAAAACCTGCTCCTCACCTCTCTTCTGGCAGCCACCGGAAAGCTGTGGGCATTGCTGTGCATCACTGTCCAGAGCAATGTCCAACAGGAAGGAAACCTGGGCAGGGTCGCTTCTCTGCCCTATACCACCATGGGTCAAGGGGCCAGTTCCTTCTGCTGTGAAGTTGTTCTCAAGCTGCTTTTTCCAGGAATCTCTTGAGAGGTTTCCTTTTCAGCCTATTTAAGCTGTGTGGGAATGTTAATGAAATTGGTGTTAATTGTGGACTTAACTCTTGCAGAGTCCCAGATTGCCAGTGTGGCCTTAGGGGTGCAAGGAGCGTACAAAGTGATTAGTCTAAAACTGAAGTTTTGCAGAAATTGATAGGCCCTGCCAATTGATGCCCAGCCCTCAACCTTCACGCCTCTGACAAATGATGGAAATATTTGCTTTTTGGCAGCCCCATTTAGCAATGAATTCTGGGAGGGAGGGGGGGGGAAGAGTCAGGAAGTTGTCCAAGGCAAATTCTGAAGTCTGCCTGGTTCTTGGGTAGGAAGTTTTCCTGATTCAGTAGCTGCCCCTGAATGGAGGTGAGCAGTGCCCATCCCACAAAGGGCGAGTGCAGCTGTTTCACAGAGGCACCAGCTGGGGAAGAGAGAAAAACCACCTTGGGAAGGAGAGGGTTCCAGCCTAGGTAGGCTCCCTTCTGCGTCCTGGCAGATGGGTTGACTTCCCTCTGGGCAGACTGAACTGCAGGCCACATGCTCTGGTGAATGTCTCCTTCAGCCCTGAATGTTTCTGACATTCCCAGTTGCTGGAGTGTAGAGTGAGAAGCAGCCCCTTTGCAGCTGTGAGGAAGTGTGATTCTTATCCCGCAGGAGAAGTTTCAGGAAATGCCTCCGATGCCTGGGAGACCTGGAAAAGGAATGCCTTTCTCTGCTTCTGTCTTCTGGGTTCCCCGCTCCAACCCCCAAAGTATCAGGATCCCAGACAGATACTCCCAGGATTTCCAATTCAAACAACCAGGGGTCACACGCTTGCCATTTACCATCCCAGCAGTGCCCCCCAAGTGAAAAAAAGGCAATGTCATCCACACATTTCTTGACCCCAGCTTTGAGATATGGCAAGAGCAATAAGGATTTTTAGGGGCATTATGGTAGCATGGAAAACACAGCTGCCCCCAAAAGTCCCTCATTTTCCCTGCACAAAGAGCAACTGGCGAAAGGGTTATCTGGGGGCTCCCACCTGCTCCTCCCTCTCAGCTGACTTTCCAGTAGTTCCACCTAAGGGGTCAGCGATATGCACACCATGCACCCATGACCTCCAGCCCCCCATGACATGCAGACACACCTCACTCCTTCTAATGCTCATTCAAACAAGGACTGAGGAGAAGCCGGATCCCCATCAGCTTCTCTCCTCCCCACATGGGGGCTCAGTCCCCCTGTTCCTGCTGCTACTCACAAAGCCCAGTTTACTGGTCTTGCGATCACCCCCCCCCCTCTGATTTCCATAGGACAGTCTCCACTTTGATTGGGACCTTGAGCACGTGGAGTCCCCCTCCATCTGCATAGGGGCTAGGCTGCCCCTTCCTCCCACACACCCAGCTCCCCCCCCCATTTTCTCAAATGACCCCTCTAAGGTCCACGTCCCCCTCCAGGTGGTAATGGCCATGGGAAACAGTGAAGCTCCCCCCCCCCGCCACTTGTTCTGTGCAGGAGCAAAGGAGCTCACTCTTCCATCAGCACCAGAGAGTAGAAACTTGGGGTTCCTTTGCAGAAGGTGAACCCAGAAGCGGGACTTTGTGGGCCAGTTGGGTACCAAGCAAGCTCATCTCGCCCCCAAAACCCCGACTCTGGGTTCACAGCCTCCCACAGGGAATTCCTCCTACAATATTCCCAGATCCACCAGAGACAAAATCGTCCCCCGCCCGCAGGCAAGCCACTTCCCCGAGAAGAGCCGGTTGGCCCCACTTCGCTCCCACCCAAGGCGCGTCCTTTCTGGGAACCCCAGCCGGGCGGGGTGTCAGTCCCGGTTCTTCCCAGCTGGGACCCCACCAGCTCCTCCCGCCTGGGGCCGCTCTCCCTCCAGACCTGGGAACTCTGCAGGGAAAGGCGCAATCTCTCGGCCTTTTCTCCCTTTCTCTACCAGGGAAACAAGGGACGGAAACGGCGCTTCAAGAGCTCAAGCAAAGCAACGACATTAAACGAACTCAGTGAAACGTCCAGAGCAGCAGCGCTGAAGGCGGGTGGGCAACTCCCAGAATTTCCAGCCTGGGAGGGGACGGAGCCGCCCCAGGGCTGCGAAACCTCGCTGAAGAGCCCCCCCCCCTCGTCCCAGCAGCGCCAGGGCCCTCCGTGCCCGCCCCGGACTTTCCTCCCCCTCCGCCCAGCGGGAGCGGCCAGAGGGACCCTCGCCCGCCCGCGCAATTCCCGGCCACAAGAGCAACCTCCGACGCGCGCGGCAGCAGACCCTGTCGGGACACCTGTCCGGGCGCACGGCGGCGCTTAACGCTACTCCGCCGCCGAGCTCGGACGGCGCTCCTCGCCCGCGGGGCAGACAGCCCCTTGAGGACCAGCTGCTTGGAAAGGAAGGCATGTTCCTCCGCCGCGTAGGGGCGCAGACGGGGGGTGTATACAGGCGGCCGCCCGTCCACTTTCCCGCGTGGGATGTCCACCGACCTCCCGATGTCTGGAAGCGTGGGATGCTTTCCCCTGGAGAAGGAGGCGAGGGCTGCCGCGAGTCTGGTAGCACGGTGGGGCCGGAGCACCCCAAGAAGAGGACATCGGGTGCCCCCCCTGACACGCGTGGGCAGAACGGAAGGCTCCGGGATCCTCGTCCTTCCCGAAGGAGCGTTGCACAAGAAATAAGTCCCCTCCTCTCTGGAAGGCCCGCCCGTGCAGCGAGGAAAGCTCCGTGTCTGCCTGCACGTGGAAAGTGCCACAGCCGCTCCCAGACCGCCCTAAAAATGAGCCCCTCCCATTCTTCCTATCGCCCCCGCCAGGGTAGCCGAGAGGTAGCTGGAACTCGCGAGGCACGGACGGGGTTCGAACCCGTGATCTTCGGTTTACGAGACCGACGCCTTACCACTTGGCCACCGCGCCTGCGTTGAACGGGGCGCTTAGCTCCCATCTAGGCTGGCGGCGCTCCCGAGACCGGCGTGCACACGTCTTGCCTGCGCGAGACGCACCGCCCCGAAGCGGGCTTCGGAGTAAGGGCAGGGCGGGCATCGCGGTGCCGCGCTGCGCAAACGCACGAAAGGGGGCGTCTTCGTACGCATGCGTTCCCGCGTTGGACCGCCTTTGCTCGTCGCTCGTGGCCGGCCGGGAAGCAATCTCGCCCGGTGGAGCCCGCTGGAAGCCCGGAGGCCAGCTCCAGCTGAGGAGGCCGCGCCGCCGCCGCTCGCCCGTAAGGCACCCCCGGACTCGGCTGTCAAGCAAACGGTTTAATGGCCCGCGCCTCCCCCGGGCGGGCTTGGCCAGCGCCCCGACGCCGCCGTCTAGCCAGGCGACGCGGGCCGCCTCTCCGGGGCTCCCTGGGGCGGCGCTCGAGGCGGGCCACTTGCGGCACGCGGCCGTCGCTCATGTCCAGGATGCGCTGCGGTAGCGCCCAGCACCCGGTCCGGACGGCGGCCCCGCGGCGCTCCGGGGCCATGCAGACGTAGCAGAAGGGGCGGTGCGGCGGCGGCCCCCGTTCCTTCCCCGCGCCCGTCTCCACGCGAAGGCTCAGCCCGGCCCTCTGCCGCGGGCGCAGCGCCGCCTCCAGCCGCTTCTGCAAATGCAGGTTGAGCTTCTCCTTGGTCAGGTCCAGCTGGAGGAAGAGGCTGGCCCGCGTGATGGGCGCGTCCCGCTGCCTGCCCACCGCCTGGACGCCCAGGGAGAGGGCGAGCGCATCGCCGCGTGGTCCTCGTTCCCTGCCCTTCCGAGAGGTGCGCGCTTCCTTGAACCCTGCCGCTGCTTTTCCGTCCGCCTCGCCTCTGCTCTTGGCTCCCGCCAGGCTTTCGCCGGCAGCGGCTTCCCTCGGGCTGGGAGAAGATGGGGCAGCCCTGGCGGGAAATCTCTGCGCGCTCCTGGCCCGCCCAGCTGCGGTTCCTTCTCCCTCTGCCTGGGCTGCCTGCTTTGGGATAGCCGAGTAGTGCATCATTCCTTCCAGCTCTGCCGGTCGGTCCCCATCTCTCGCCCCCTTCTTGGGGGCCAGTGGGAGAGCCAAGTAATGCAACGTTCCTTCCAATTCTCCCTGTTGGTCCCCATCTTTTTTGCTTCCAGTCCCTGCTCCCGTCTCGGCGGTGGACACGTAGCGCATCTTTCCTTCCAGCTCTGCTGGTCGGCCCCCATCTCTTTCACTTCCTGTTGCTGCTTCTTTCTTGGGAGTCCCCGGGAGAGCCCTGTAACACATTATGCCTTCCAACTCTCCCTGCTCATCCCCATCTTTTTTGCTTGCCCCCTTCTCAGAGGAGGGTCTGTAATGCACCCTTCCTTCCAGCTCTGCCTGTTGATCCTCATTTGTTTTGCTTTCAGTTCCTGCTCTTGTCTCAGTGGTGGAGGTGTAGCGCATCCTTCCTTCCAGCTCTGCCGGTCGGACCCCATCTCTTTTGCTCCCCCCCTTCTCAGGGGACAGTGGGACAGCCCTGCAAGGCATCGTTCCTTCCAGCTCACCCCGTTCGTCCCCATCTTTTTTGTTTTCTGCTCCCTTCTTGGTGGTTGGTGGGAGAGCCCTGTAATGCAACGCGCCTTCCTGCTCTTCCTGATGGTCCCCATCTTCCTCGCTTCCTGCGTCTTTCCCATCTGCCTTTGCTCCTTTCTTAAGGGGAGCTGGGAGGTCCTGTAAGTTTGCAGCTTTCAGAGTCCTGATTTTACCCTCCGTTGTTTTCTCCTCCAGAGCTTTTTGCTTGCTGGTGCTGTCTTTACCAACTGCTCCCTGACTCTCAGAAGAAGGCATGGCAAGAGGCACTTTCTTAGACTGGATCCCTTCACCTGGTGCTTCTGCTTCAAAATGTTTCTGAGTGGGGACATCTCTAAGAAGCACTGCCAGTGACCAGTGAGGGGGTCCTTTGGCCTTTTTGGAGGGAGTGCTGGGAGCCAAAGACCTCTGCTTAAAGAGGTCTGTGAACTGCACATCTTGAGGCCTTTTTGCAGGAGCCAGGGGGATTATACGAGGGACCTGGGGCTTTGGAATCAAGAGAATTTGCTTTGACTCAGCCCCCCTGGGGGTCGTGGCCCTCTTCCTGGGAGTTTTCAAGACCAGTATGGGAGCAGGGGGCTTCTGAGGAATTTCTTTCACTGGGCCACTGGGACACTGTGTTGCCTCAGAGAGGGCCGGGGTGGCCTTTTCTGTGAGTCTGGAGTGCAGCTTTGGGATTCCCCAGGTGAAGACCATGTATTTGTGGCTGATGTTGAAGTCAATGATGCAAAGCGTCTCTTTGGCAACAAAGGCTAGCGAGAGGTCTTTGGGCCTTAAGAGTTTGTTGCCAAAACGGATCAACTTTGGCAGAGGCTTTATGGAAACGATACTGAAGGTGCGGAGGGAGTTCTCGACCATTTCAGGGAAGGCTCCCTTTTGAATTTCCACCATTTTCACTGTTAAATGGAAAAGCAGCTTCCGGAGTTTTTCTGGTTCCATTGAGAAAAGAACATAATTTGTTTGGCTTCTCTGGGAATCTCTTGTTTGAAGGCCTAGCTTCTCCTTGGGAGCAGGGAAGCCTGCTTTTCTGATTTCTTCTGGGTTTGCTTTGTGAAAAATGTAGTACCTGTTGGCTTTTGGAGATTCCTGAAAAGATTTCGTGTAGACAGCCAGAGCATTCCTGGGCAGGAGGGGAGGCCATGCTGGAGCTTCAGCGTTTAGTAAAATGTTTTGCATCGTTTTTTTAAGATCCCCACAGAAGGATTTTTTTTTCAGAGATTGAAACAGGTTCACAGAGTTGATGACCACAGTGGGAACTCCACACCGTCTCTGAACCATTTTCTTCTTGATGTGAAATTCCAAGAAGTTTTTACTTTTCTCATCCATTGCTTTCAGAACAGTCGGCGCTTCCTCTGAGTCGGGAGGCATGCCGCCCGCAGGGTCTGTGGTAGCCTTCGGCTGAGTGGCCTCTTCCTCTTTTTGAGAAGACGGTTCAGTGACAGATTTCTCCGTTGTTTTAGCAAGTTCCTCTTTCTGCTCTTTCACCCTGAAGTCAAGACACTGGATGGCCATTTGATCCAGCAAGGGGAGAGGCGAAGGTTTCTCTCCCACTTCCTCTTTATCCCCGATCCTCAACCTGGGGAGGGAGCTGGTGGCCGTGGGTGCCGGCAGGGGTCCCATACGGATTTCAAGAGATTTCTCCATCAAAATGACATGATCCTCCTTTTCAAAAGTGGAGCTCTGGACAAAGTTTATTTGTGCAAAAGACATCTGCGGGACTCCCTTAATTTCAGGATGACTTTCCGGAAGCAGTGGCGCACTTTTTATTTCAGGAAGTCTTTCTGGGAATAAAGGGAAAAATGATGGCCCACGTTGTTTTCTTTTCTTCAGAAAATAAAGATCTTCTGATTCTGAGGAAGAAGAATCAGAGCTGCTGGCTTCGGAAGCGTCCGAGGAATCGTGTGTTGCCCAGGAAGCATCTGTAGCCACACGACAGCGCAAGTTCAAGTGTTTTAGGAGCGGCAAGCAGGAGGAGGAGCTGGAGGAGGAGTGCTTTGGCTGAATCATGGTGGTCCTTAATAAAGGAGGTAGACACGGGTGGTACTTTTGGTATAAGTTCTCATTTTGACACACGCTTCTTGGAGTTTGATATGGATCGTAGGGATGTCTGTGGACCTGCCAAGGCAGGTCATAACTGTAGAAAGAAAGAGAAATCAGAATTTTCCTACACTGCTAGACAAGAAAACACTGTTTTCACTTATAGATGATCCCACTTATAAAAAATAATCACTGCATTTCTGCAATGTGCCCATTCCTACCCTGATGGGAAAACTTCCACCTTGGAAAATTCTTCGGACCTTATCTTGTCTGAAGAACTGTTGTGACTGTTTTATGATGCCCAGATAGGCGAAGCTGCCCGACCAGCTTCACTGAGCCTTCCCCAGCGACAACTGGAGCCCAGCCCCAGCCAGGTCCTCGCAGCTTTGCGTGGCCCCCACAGAGGAGTTTCTCTGCCATTACTGAGAGGACAGAAAGTGCAGTTGCAGAGAGTCTCCTACAAAGACAGTGAGATTTCACCTACCTTTCAAAATCAGATGTTAGTTGTCTCCCACAAACGCAGCTAGAATCTATAACCGGAAAAAGTATATATTTGGAATTTATTTTTACTTCAATCAACTTATAGAAAGTATTTTTAAAATATCCATGAAGCTGCCTTGACTAACTGCTACTGAAAAGAAAAACCTGCCAAGCGATCATCTTTAACAATGGGGAAAGAAGAGAATTGATGCTACCTTTGGAGCAGTCTTAAACCTGAGTTACACAACTGCAGGAATACAAGATTTGGCAAAAGGCCAGCTAAGTCAGCAAAATGGGAAGCTCTGCTGAGGCTGAGAAAAACCAGGGCAGGTTCTGAATGGAACCTGATTGGGGGGGGAGGGCAGTCCCATGGGCCATCGGCTCCCATTCACACCACAAACAGCCACCGATCCCTGGTGAACCTAAAGGTAATGCCATGGGCCCACCTCTACTCCAGGGAAAGATGAAGTTGGAATAAACATACGTTTTGCTTGTGTGGCTGAAAAGTCGTTTTCTCTCTCTCCTTCACACTCTGCTTCAGGCTGTAATGGGGAAAAAAGGTTACTGGGTTTCAAATTTTCTCATGGAGAAGGTGCATTCTGGCTTCCCAAAGGCTTAAAGCATGAGAAAAAACCCCCAGCAAACTTAATAAAAGTTGCCCCCTTCCAGTTTGGGGTACTGTCGGCAGCTTTCCTGCTTCAGTGCAAAGGAGAGACTCTCTGCGGCTCAGGGGCTTCTGGCCAGGCAGCCTTTTTGTCCAGGTGCCTTTAGCTTCTGTTGCCTGTCAGGTCCCATCTGGCAGCTCTGCGGAGGGCCTGGCTGAGTTAGCACCTGCTCCTTACAATTGTCTCTTTCGGTCCCATCGCAGCCTGCCAGGTCTCCTCTGGCCAAATGGGGGGGGGGAGTTTGATTTTGGCTTCGAATTTCCTTCCCCTGGACAAACACATGTAACATACTTTCTAAATGGAGATGGTTTATGTGGTTTGGATTTCTGTTATCAAATGTAGTTTTATTGTAAACCATGCTGACTTGTCCTTGTATGGGACAGTCAATTTCAGAAAAACCAGGATGCTTTGGGTCAACTCAGGCGCATCTAGGCCAACAACCTGCCCCTGGATAAACCCTCTCTCTGAAATGCATCTGGTCCCAGGTAGATCCACAACAAAATTAAGGGCAATGTAATTTGGTGTGACCTGTTTTAATACCATCCTTCCAATATTTGAAGGACACATTCTGTACCACTGAAAGATGGCCCCTCCATGTTCAGAGGCAGTCTACCCCATTGGCTTCCAGAGTCTCTTGCCAGCAATTGCTGACAGGAACCCGGAAATGGTGGGTGGGTGTCTGCTTTGATCCTGCAAGGCTGGTCCCACATTCTCAGCTCTGCTCAACTGACGTCCCCCTTCCAAAGCTCATAACGTGCAAGTGAGAGCTTCTAGTTACGATCTCCCTGCTTCCTCTTTCTGTCTCAGGACCGTTTGCAAACCCAGGCTCTCCATCTGCAACTACACGGTGGCCCTTAGCGCCATGTTCAGGCCGGGCTAAGCTCACGCAGAAAAGCAGTGGAGAAAAGTGGCTTTATGGGTGCTTTTGGTCAGCCAAGCCCTGGGCTGGTGGGTGTGCACGAGCTGCCCAGGACCACACCAGAGACTGCAATATGCTTAAGTAAAGCCCTCTCTTTACCAAGGGAGGAGAGCTGGGCTGTGCTGCGGGGCTCTCCGTTGCGACAGGCTGCCTAAACTGGGCTTGCCACCTGGCCAGGCAGGAGGAGGTCCAGATTTCAAAGCCCAGCCAGAGCAGCAGCAGGACTGCCCCGGCCAGGGGAAACCCCCATGTTGTCTCTGAGATCCAGCAGAAGCCTTGTGAACACAACATGTGTTGGAACTGGGACAGCAGGTTTCCCTCCGAGCAGGACCCAGCAGGGCCCTCTTTTCCATCTGCTTCCCGAGCAGTCCGGCTCCGGAGGGAGGGTCCCCCACTGAGGTCCTTCTGCAGCACCAGGGAACCAAGCACCAAGGCTGCATATGCAGACCTCATGGCCCATCCAGGAAGCTGCGCCCTCTCTCCATCTCTGTGCTTGTGGGTTGCCAGTGCGCCAGACAGGGGCCAAGGCTCCTGCCTGATGGGTCACAATAGGTCCCCTCTGGGAGCGGTCGCTAAGAGACCTGGCTTTGGAGCTGGGAACCTGCTGCTTGGCGGGGGGAAAGGACGAAGCTTCACACATCCTCCCTGCCACCAACTTCCACACCAGATTCCATTTTTGTTCTGGCTCAGTTTCTCTCATGCCCCAACCCCTCTTCACTCCATGGCTGGCACAGCCAGGGCGATAAGAAAAACCAATATCAGAAGGGAGAAAAACCTAATTCATTTTTATTTCGGCACAAAAAAAGGGCTTTTGAGGTACAGCTACGCATGCTGTAGAAGACAGCAAACATTCAAGGCCTCGCAGGGTAGAAAAAAAGAAAAAAACCTAAAGCCTTGGGAAAAGGGCTGCTGGTCGGCCCAATGGACCACGCCTGCCTCCTCCAACCGAACGGTGTCCGAACGCAAGAGGGGACACAAACTGCCCACAATGCCATCTGCACCCTTCAAGGGCAGAAACCGCCAGTCTCAGTGCTCTGAGCACATGGATCCAGGCCAGCCTCGCTTGGCCTGTTTCAACACAGAGAGAAAAGCTGGAAAAGAGCAAGTCTGGGTGATGCCCCACCCGAAGGCCAAGCACCCCCTCCTTGTTGGAGGGAAGGGAGCTGAAAGAGACGGGCTCGGGGCCTGCTTGGGGCGGTTCCTGCCTGAGGAGGGACTTGGAAGGCACAGTCGGTGAGTGATGGGCTAAGGAAAGCAGGCTGAGAACCTGAATGCGTGAAAGATACACGAAAGCCACACCAAGCCCAGGTTGCCGCAGGTCTGCCTGCTTTTGCCACTCTCTGAGCTGAGCTCTCTGAGGAGCCCGGAGCGTCCCCCACGCTGCACAGAGCAATGAAAAGGGTCGTGAGGAAGAGGGGGCAGCCAGGGGCGCAGCTTGAAGCGGGAGCCCCCGATGGGGCCTCTGTGCCGGCCGCCCTGCAAGAGAAGGGCCAGAGGGTTCCAGTGCACCGCTGAAGTCCTGAGCAGCCCAGCAAAGTCACGTCTTGGCCAGAAGCATCTCCTCGATGCCTTTCTTCCCCAGCCGATAGCGGGCCAGGTCCTTCCGGGTGACCAGCCCCACCACCTGCAAGGCAAGAGGGGCACACGTGCTCAGGCTGGGCAAGCACCCCCCCCCCATCTCAGGGCAAGGCGATGGGCCCAGCAGCTGGAGGAGCAGCTCCCTGCAAGAGACACCCCTCCCCCTGCTTCTTCCCACAGAGCTGGGGGCCTACCTGGTTCTGATTGTCCACAACCACCAGGTGGCGCAAGCCCAGGGCTCGGAAGAGCTTGAAGACCCTTGGGAGAGAGGCCTCCTGCAATCGGGACGCAGGCCGGTCAGAGGGAGGGAACGTGGCATGGAGGCCAGCAGGGTCCATCCAACTCCTTCCCTCCAGCAGCCCAGAGGTGAGCCCTCTCTCTCGAACCTGCTGCCCCTGCAGCCAGATGGGCCAGCTTGGGCCAAGAAACGAGATGCCCCTCCAGTTCGGGAACGTCAGGCCCCTTGCCAGGCATGGTCATAGCCTGCCCACTGGGGAAGCCCACAGCGCGCTCCAGGCCCTTCACCTGTGGCACAGCGTATGGCGAGGGGTTCATGAACTCGGTCAGGTCCATCATGCACTCGCGCTCGTCCTGGGAGACGTGGATGGACTGGATGGGGGGGAAGCGAGGGTAGGCGTCCCGGAAGTCCTTCAGCTTCAGCCGCCGCTGCCGCAGAGACAGGCTGGCCCGCTCCACAAAGACCTGCAGGGAAGCGGGAAGCATTCCTGAGGGGCAGCCCACTTGGCCCAGGCCGGAGGGAACGGACTGGTTCCCCTCCTAATAATGGCCCTGAGCTCCCCTTGAAGGCCTGGCTTGGGTGGCTGGTCGGGAAGCCCCTTCTCTGCCACAGCACCTGCGCTTCCCAAGCCCCACCAGCTCCCGCTGCACCCATCGGCCAGACCCCCTGCTGCCCCGATCCAGCGCACACCTACCTTGTGCTTCAGGAGCACAATCAGCTGGGAGCGCAGGATCAGGCCTCGCAGCCCCATCGTCTGCAACAAGAGAGGCTTTCCTGGGTCACTGCTGAAATTGGGGTTGTTCCCACCCCGACAATGGGGAGAGAAGAGAGGCCCATCCTGGCCCAACCCTCAGCAGATGCTGGATGCCAAGTGGCGCTGAGGGTTCCTTCACACACTCCACACACCCACCCCCCTGCGCTTTTTATCACAAGGGCTGCTTTGGGTTAAAAATATCTGAGAAGGCCTTTAGGAGACGAATCCCCAAATCTGGGAATAAAACCTTCCCACCATCAGCAAGCTCCGCCTGTCACGGCAGCAACAGCTCCCTGGGGTTTCACCCCAGCATCGCTCCCAGAAGCTTCTCTGCTCAATTGGGCTGCCAGCTCATGCCAGCCACTTTCCCACCTGGTCGCTGCCAGGGGTGCTCTCGACCACAGGGAAGCCATTGTGATTGGAGGGCGTGTCGCTGAGGATATCCACGATGGTCCCCACTTTCTCAGTCTGCCGCAGGCAAGTGACTGGGGTGCTCATCACCTGTCTGTAGGGAGGACAGCCCAGACTTACACTTGACCCAAGGGGAGCCATTGGGGTGCAAGTGGGAAAGGCTCTCGGCCAGATGTTTTTCCCACCGGGAACCCTGGGGAATAGGCCCTCACTCATCACAGGGACGGGAGGGGCCTCCCTCCACCACACTGACCTCTTCCAGCACCTCTTCCCTCCTCCAGCCAGACCTGCAGGGAGCCCAGCGAGTGTCGGCTAGTCAACTTACGTGGCAGTGAACGAGTGCGAAGTGACTGGTGCCTCCCAGTGTAAGAAGGGGACACTCTGGAGCTGGATGTGCATATCATACAAGCCCTGGAATGGGGGCAGGGGGAGAAGGGGGTGTGAAGATGGGTGAGAGAGACCCTGAGGCGACGAAGGGAGATGGGTCGGGGTCTACAAGCAGAACGAGCCCCCGGGTGTTCCTGGCAGACGTTCCCCAAGCTTTCCAAAATAATTCTTTTTGGGGAAGGAACATGCAGGCTGTGATGACAGTCCTGCCAGACAGACACTGGAAAGTCTGTGCCGACAGTCGGGAGGGAAAACTGAGTCACAGAAGGTCCCATCTGGCCTGAGTCATGCCAATGTGGGCTGGAGGTTGGCGCCATGGGATTCCCGCCGTGGGCATTCCCTGGGATAAAATGCTTCTGGGTCTCTTGACCTCCCGCCAGAGCTCTTCAGGGGTGCAGCCCCTCACCTCCGCAAAGAAGTCCCCCACGATCTTGGCCGTCATCAGGACCAGCATGATGGGGAACCCGTAGGTGACGTTGCCTGTGGCCTCCATCATGATCACAGTCAAGCTCAGTGTCATCCTCACGATCCCTCCTGGAAAAGAGCCCCCATTGGCACTTCTCCTTCCTCCCCCAGGAAGAGCCCTGCTGCCTCGTCAGGCACGATGGGCATTTTGGCCACCAGGAGCCCAAACAGCCAGGAGGTTCCTGACTTGTCCAGAGCTATTTGCCCACCCAACTGGATGGCTGGGATGATCCCGCCAGAGCGACGGAAGGGCCCAGACTGAGCCTCCCGGCCTGGCTCTGCTCCTCCCAAAGAGCCAAACTTAACCACCCCCACCTCCACATGCACACCAGAACTGGGCTCTGCGCAAGCACAGCCAGGCCCCTCCCTCCCCTGTGGAGGCCTTGGAAAGGGGCCCACCGCTTGGGCACTCACCCAGCTGTGCTGCTGCTCCCATCAGCGCGTACTTCCCTGGGTCAGCCCTGATCTGGAAGCCAGAGAAAAAGCAGGCAGTGGAGCAGATGGGGCTCTCCTTTACCCCATGAGCCCCCATAGTGCGGGCGGAGGGAACTGACGCCAGGATCAGCACAAGGCAGCCCAGACACACATCCTGGGCTCCAGCCAACCCCTGCAGTGAAGCTCGCCTTTCTGATCCCCACCTGTGACCCAGACTCTCAGGAGTCTCCCGGGTCTGTGGGGAAAGGAGCCCAAGGCTTACCAAACCATTGGGAATGTAGGACAATGAAATGCCAAAAAGGCGGCCCCAGGCAGCACCGATCAGCAGGGAAGGGATGAAGACGCCCGCAGACACCGTCAGCCCATAGGTCCAGCAGGCCAGGAAGAAGTACACCAGGGTGAACAAGCCCAAGGTCATTGGGTCATAAGTGCCTGGGGGGAAACAGAAGACCCTCACTTCTCTCCTCTCCAAGAGAAGTGGGGGGGGGTGAGCTGGGCCCCAGTAAAACCCTGATGGCAGCTCAATTGTGGAAGACTAAGAAGGCTACGCTGAGTGGTTCGGTTCTGCTTAGCAGCCACCTTGGCTGGCAAATTGTGGCTCAAGGTTGACGCGACCCGAGGCATCAAGGCAGCTCCTTGTGCCCTAGTTAAGAATCCCTGCTCAGCCCCGTCCACCTCTGTGTTGCGGCAGAGGTGGCTGACCTGGAGGGTCGTGGAAGAGGCGGACCACGCTCTTCTCGGGGGTGTTGAAGAAGGCAGCGGCCATCGAGTTGTACTGCCCATCAGGGCAGAAGAGCTGGTGAAAAGGAAAAGGGGAGGAAGAGGAGAAACCTGTTACTCTCATACTCTCAAAAGCAGAAGCATCAAATTCTAGTGGAGCCTCAAAACTGAAGAGGACGCTTTGAACCCATGGCCAGGCTGGCAATACCTCTCCCCGCCCACCCCTCTGGGTTTAAAACTCCAATCCTTCTTGCTGAGCTGTTTGCCCACCTGTTGATCCTAAGCCTGGGGCCCATCCGCAACAACTCCTTCCAGCGTTTAACAACTCCCCCCCCCCCGCAAGCCCCTACCTGCAGCGGGTAGGCCATGCTGTTGTCCTGGAGAGGCTGGCAGTCTGTGGAACTGTAGATGAGGACAAAGGCAATCGCTGCCGTCACGGCCCCCACCAGCACGGACTCGACCACCTGCAGGCACGGGCGGTGGATGTATCTGGGGAACCGAGGGGGGAAAGGCAGGTGAACCAGAGGCTGGATGGGACAGGGCAGCCCCCGAGAGGCCAGAATCAGAGGCTGAGCCCCACCAAGGTCTCACCTGATCCGGAACATCGTCAGCCAGTAGTTCAGAGCATTGAACGTGGCACCAAG